TTTTATCTCCCTTCAGTTGTTTGGATGTGAGTTATCTTACTTGTGTGTGAGCAATTGACGCCTCTAAGTAACATTAACAACTCAACAACATTCAATCATATTCTAACCACTCATCATTCAAACACAACTTCTTTTCAAGATGAAAAAGAGAGAGAGCCAAGTCTTTGGACTCTTTTTCTCGATTACTTGGGCCCGAGGAGCCTTTCTTAAGCTTCGAGTAATCGTCATCCATACCCACTTCAAACCAATTCAGCCCCGTTTCTTTTCATGGTCGTTACCACGAACTACGGACACTCTGATTCTTCATTCACTCTTGAATGTAAGATACATAGGCACAAGATTGTGATGATCTTGGCGAGCACACTTCTATCTTTCTCCATCATTCCGTCCACCAATCCATCTTCCGCTTCCCTCATCCTTTCCCATAGTCAAACTACAAAGCTCTGATTTCTCATTCTCATCCGAATGAGCATACGTAGGCACAAGGGCCCCGATCCTTGGCGAGCACCTTATCTTTTAACCATCATGTTTCCCCTCAGCATTGTCTTTATCCTTTTATCGTATCATTTCACATTTTGTATTGAGAAGAGAACAACTAAGCTTAGCTAACATTCATCACAATCTGAATTAAGAGGTTCCCGTTGAGTACAACGGATATGAGGGGTGCTAATACCTTCCCCTTGCGTAACCAACTCCCGAACCCAAAACATCAGGTTGCGACGGTCGTGTTCCTTTTAGTTTTTAAGATGTTTTCTTGATATTTTCCTTTCCCGTTTATTCGGGATAAATAAAGTTCGGTGGCGACTCTATCGAACCGCATTTCTGCGCCTTTCGCGCAAGGGTCGTTTCTCCAAAATGTCTTTGTGATTTTTCGAGGTGCGACAAATAGCTATGTGGATCACCTTCAGACGCGGACATTTGACGACATATCGCTATACTCCAGATGGCTGGCCTGTGGATCGCATATTCTTGCTCCTCGTCTGCCCAAGCGTGTCATGCGGCAATTTGGGTACACCCAGACCATCCTCAGACACCCTTCTATCTTTGATCCTTTTGTCTTGTCTTGTATATAGATAGAGGAGATGCTTGTTGATTATGAGAGTCCCCTGGTACCGGAGGAGGGGGCAGAGTAGGCAGAGGAGGTAGATGAGAGATTGTCAGGCACACCAAGTAGTAGCCTGTTATTATTTTGATGTTGTATTATAGTTTGTACTTTATTTCTGACATTGTTACTACATTTTTTATCTCATGATGTACGACATTTTACTATTATATTGCTATATTATTTTTAATACACGCAATATTAGTCTTTTATTAATTTGTAGGTTTGTTTTTTCATTTGAAAACAAATACACAGCCCGTTATGAAAAAAACTTGTTCTGATACATTTCAGAGATGTATCTCCGGAATATTCCCCTAGATGCATCTCTGGAACAATTCAAATGTAAATAGGTTATTGGTGACATATTTTGAATGTTTAAATTTTATAATTGTTCTGGAGATATATCTCCAAAGCATGTCAACGTTTACTCAGAAATGGGGTGCGTCCGAAGATACATCTCCGGGAACAAAGGGCATTTGTGAAATTTCGCACGGTGAGGTAAAAACATATAGGGTGCAATAAGAAATAACCAAAATTGATTGCGCACACCTATAGCTAACTACACGTAAATGTGGCCAAATACGTACTACTTGGGCCTTGTTAGCTTAAACTTATTTTCATTCTCAAAATTTGAGGGAATTTCTTAATGCACCCTATATATTTTTTAGCCACCATACAAAAATATTTAAATACTCTCATATTTCAAAGATGCATCTTCGGACGCACCCAATCGTGATTGAACATTAAAATATTATGGAGATGCATCTACATAATAATGTTGGAGATGCATCTTTGTAACGTATCAGAACAGAATGAATCATAAGTTATGTTTTGTTTACGTGTATTCAGATGAATATGTATTAGCATTATGTACCTTGTTGTGTGACAAGATTTAAACCATATAATCGATATACAAACATTGACATACATAAATCCAGATGGTCCAAAAATGTCATATATAAAAAAAAGACAAATAGATGTCAAAAAAATCTAGAACAATGATAAAGTAGCATGATGCCAAAATAAAATACAATCCATAGTATATATTAATGCACTATTGTGTATGTCGGACTACATCTCATTTTCCTCCTGTGGCTCCTTTACCTCCTCTAGATCCTCAGTCATCAATCCCCTCGTCCTCCTGCGTTGTTTCTGATAGATCAATGCCCATTGTGCCTCCATAATGATAACATTTAGGACTTGTTTCACATCAGAACCATCTAGGAAGATACCTCTATCAATGCTTGCCTGCACAATCACCACAATGTGGTGGAATCTAGGCAAGACATCCTCGGCATAATCTAATTATGCTTGCTCCTCTTCTAGTATCTCTTGATGACCTGGCCTTGACGGATATCCTAGAGCAGCACACACCATGTACGGATGTGACACCCTAAAGAGCCATCTGATATACCCATCAACGTAGCTCTAATCGCTAATAGTTATAGTACCCCGTGTCTCCTCCGGTACCAGATAACTCTCATAATCATCAAACATGTTATCCATCTTTCTACATATCAAAGCAGAAGGAGAAGAGACAACAGGGTGTTTGAGAATGGTCTGAGTGTAGCCGAATTGCCGCATTACGCGCTCGGGAAGATGAGGAAATGTAAGATGTGATCCGCAAGCCAATCATCCAGAGTATAACACTATCTCGTCAAATGGTTGCGTCTCACGATGGTCTAGATAGTTGTTGAAGTGCATGTCCTCGACATCTAATCGGTCAAGATACAGTCTAAACGACTCAGTCTTCTAGTTCCCTCTGAGTGGCGCAAAATTAGTAGCACGCGAAATATCCTCAGTGTAAGTCGGTACACTCGCCCAATCGGAGATGCGCGGGAAGTGTTGGAGGATCCAAACCTAGAAATTTTGGAACACACGAACCATAAGTAATGACATTGTAAAGATGAAATAAAAATGACCCATAAAAATTTAAAGACTAATAAATTTTTTCGTTAGTAGTGTGATGTTGCTTGTGACTTGCTTTGTCTTCCACCTACATCCCTCTGATAACTTTGAGTATAGGTAGATCAAACAAGCGGCCCCCTAGTTGTACTCATGGATCCGCTCAAAATCCTCAAAGTACCATAGGTAGATGACATTTGTATAAGTGGCACTCTTGTCCACAAAAATCGTAGTGTCAACCAAATATAGCAGGTATGTTCTCATAGCAAGCGCTCTATGGAGCCCCACCTGCTCGTCATCACCTGTAACCTAATGTACTCTCTGGATCTCATCTGTATATATCTTTTTCAGGTATTCAAACCTAGTATGAGCCCTCCTGGTTCTATCCAACTCCTCCTTCGCTTCCACTAAGTCAACCCTCATATAGTCTACCATCATCATGAGTGTCTCGTCTTTGGTAATCCTCTCATGATTTAGAAGTCTCCCCTAATCGAAAAATGTAGCAAACATGACACATTGTCAAGTGTGATAGACATCTCACCAAGCAGGAGATGAAATGAAGAGGTCTCGGAGTGTCATCTCTTACGAATGCATTAAGCATCTCGTGGTTAATTGTAGTATAACTGATTATGCACAAGTCCTTCAAGCCAGATAAGGACAAAGCAGCATGAAACGATTCCTCATCAACTAAGGCAAGTCAGTAATCTTCAGCTCGTGGTTAATAAACTTCCGTGGATCACGGTCTTGAAAAAAATAAAAAACAATGTCACAAACTTGTCGATTAAAATAAATGTAAATTAAAAATAATGAAGACAACTAATAATATGTCTCCTTCCTAAATATGTCTTGCAGTATGCATCTCTGATTGTTGGAAAACTAAAACGTTGAAATTTTTTGAAGATACATCTCTGAAATATTCTGCAACTCAACAATTGTGTCAATGACGGCAATGGAAACATGGAACCAAAAACATATTGCCTTGATTATCATTTTCAGCCAACCATCATGTTTTATACTATGTCTAAACTATCAATCATCCAATTTCTACTCATTTCCTAATTTATACATCAATTTCTACTCACTTACACAAAAACACAAACTATTCAAAACATCAAAAAACTTACAATTTTTCACTTTACTTTAGTGTTGGATGATGTTTCTGATATTGATTGAAGTTCCTTTGACTTTGATTTTGATCTTGTTGATGAGAACAAATTTGAGAGAGTTTGAAGTGTTTTTTTTAAAATATGACAAATGAAGAGAATGGGTTCTGACGCGATTTAAGCTTCAAATCATTCTGGAGATGTATCTCCGACATTATTTTGTAGAAACGTCTCCAGAATATTTTAACGTTAACTTAGACTTAGCTGCATCTGAAAATACATCCCTGAAATTTATGAACATGTAAATATTTTCACGTAGTAATAACTAAAAAACATATAGGATGCATAAAGAAATCTTGAAACTTAAAACATCACCGCAGCTATTAATCCCTTACGTTATCCATAGCTTTAATTATACTACATGACAAATATTACCTAATTTTATGATTCATTCAATGTATTGTCTATCCCTCCATGGTGTGCTTGTGTTTTGGCACAATTTCAAGTCTCATTAATGATAATTAAATGAGAATTTCTCCTTAAGTTAATTAATCCCTTTTAATAATCAAAGTAATCGGCTTATCACATGTATATGTTGATTTTCTATCACCTTATTTTGTGAAAATCATTTTATTTATCTCAAAGCAATTACATTAGATACATTCATCTTTTGACTTTGCGGCTAATAACTCAAATAATTTTCATAGTTGACTTTTAATATATTTAAGCAAACATTAAATTAAACAATTATCCAACACTATATATATAATTGTACCATTCTAACGGTTTCAACTACCAACTAACAAACTCACACAAAAACCGCAACTACTAAAAAAAACGAAAAACCAACATTTTTTTACAGAAATTTTGAACATTATAGACTCGATATAATGGATTGTTTTATAGGTACTAAGTATGTGTTGGTAATTTTATGTATCTTATGTATCACATTGATAGGTTCATCAAATGCAGCTTCAACTACTAATTTCAATGTAGTTAAATTTGGTGCAAAACCAGATGGAAGAAGTGATTCAACTGAGGCATTTATAAATGCTTGGAAATCAGCATGTTCAAGCTTAGTTCCTGCCACAATCTTTGTGCCAAAAGGGAGGTACTTGTTGAATGCCATTAATTTTCGAGGGCCATGTAAGAGGAAGGTGACATTTCTCAATGGTGGAACACTTGTGGCTCCTGAAGATTCTAAGGTGGTTGGAAATTCAGGGTTTTGGATTTTGTTTAATCATGTTGATAATCTTGTTGTTTCTGGAGGGAAATTGGATGCGAAAGGGGTAGGGTTTTGGAATTGTAGAAGATCGGCTAAGAATTGCCCCGTTGGAGCCAGGGTACGTTATTTAAATACTATTCTCTCGTCTGATCGTATATAACAGAAAATTTACTTTTTAAATTTATTGAATAATCAAAATATTTTTAGACATAATAGCAAACACTTTTCGAACAAAGATATGCTATGATTAAAGAAATGCATGAGAAAAAATTGAAACATGTTAATGTATAATTGCAGACAATGACATTCAATTGGGTGAATAACTTGGTGGTTAGTGGCATTACTTCAATTAACAGCCAACTAAGTCACCTAGTAATCAACACATGCAACAATGTTGTGGTGAGAAATGTAAAACTTATGGCACCAGACAAGAGCCCAAACACTGATGGAATTCATGTTGAAAACTCAAATGGGGTTACCATAAATGGATGTACAATGCAAACAGGTGATGACTGCATATCCATTGGTGATGCCACTTACAATCTCTTCATGTCAAATATTAAATGTGGCCCTGGTCATGGTGTAAGGTTAGTATCAATATCCTTAATCACTACTATTGTTTATGTTACATTTCTATCACAAAATCGAACCGAAATAAATTATAATAAAAAAAAAACATCTAAACTGAAGCGTTTTAATTAATTTAAAACTAAACTGAATCAAACTTATCGGTTTAGTATGTTTATTCAAAATTTTGAATCATACCAAACCGTTTGAAAACAAAAACTAAACCATTTGTTAAAGAATTGAACTGTTAAATTTTTTTGACTTTTTTTTAATAAAAGTTTTAAATAGTAGAAATTCAATTTCAATTTGATTTATTGGCCATGTGTTCTAATTTTAAAACTATTTGTGCAACACAAATTTGATTCACTAACCAAATAATAGTTTGATTATTATTTTAATTTCAGTTTGATTCAATTAATTTGTTTCAGCAATTTTTTGAATAGTCCTAATCATTATCTAGGTCAATTTATAGCATATTGACACTTTGTTAAAATGCGTGTTTGATACAGCATTGGAAGTTTAGGCCAAAAAGTGGATGAAAAAGGAGTTGAAAATGTAACATTAACTAATGCAATCTTTTCTGGATCTGATAATGGGGTTAGGATAAAATCTTGGGCCAGGCCCAGTAACGGTTTTGTTAAGAATGTTTTGTTTCAAAACATCATAATGAAGAATGTTGAGAATCCCATCATCATTGATCAGAATTACTGTCCCAACAATCAAGGTTGTCCTGGTCAGGTAATCATCAATAATCCAACTTAGCATGATTATATTCTCTACAATTTTTTTTTATAAACTTATTGAGTGTGTTATTCTCGAGATCTCCGGTTCAAATTCACGAGTCCGTTCAGAGACAAAATTATTGACAAATATGTTAATTTATTATGTAACAGACTTCAGGAATTAAGATTAGCCATGTTACTTATAAGAACATTCAAGGAAGCTCAGCAACAACAGAGGCAGTAACATTTGATTGTAGCCCAAGTAATCCATGCCAAGGGATCAAATTGGAAGATATAAACTTGAATTTCAAAAACAAAGCTACAACTTCTTCCTGTAACAACATTGGTGGGACGAGCAATGGAACACTGGTTCCAGAAAGTTGTCTGTTAAATTAACAAAAGCAATCATGCATAATTAATGTGTTTTCATCATATACATGTATATAAATTTAGATTAGTTATGGGTGCGTATATGCTTCAAGTTGAAGCAAAATCTGATTAGGTATGCAAACTACATGTATACCTGGTATTATATTTATTTAAATATATTTAAAGAAATTTAAAATCAGAGTGTTATTTGATTAAAGATCGGATGGTACAAATCAATGATCACTCCACAACCGTAATTACAACCGCTGCCGCAATATTGCTGATGTGGTAGCCACTGGAACCGCAGTTAACCGTAATTGCAGAGTGAATTAAAATGATGCATAACACTACAATTACAAATCACATCAGACGCAATATTGATGATTTGGTAGCCTTCGCAACCGCAATTGCAGTGTGAATTAAAATAATGCGTCCAACTACTATTACAAATCACATTAGACAATTTCCCTTATGTTTCTTTTAAATATTTTCATCAAAACTTAAATTTCAAAATCCAAAAAACTCAATTTACTTCCTATATAATGAAAAATCTTATCAAGTGTTTCTTATCGAACACCTCCCAATTAAAATTCTAGCTCCAAACTGACCGTAATCACAACACCTTGCACAAACCATGCTACAAATTGCTTGACTTCAAAAAATTTCAAATATAAAAAATCCAAATCTTGCAAAAGCTACTAAAAGTTTTTCCTGAATTTGGCAAATCAAATAACAAGGTTCTCAAATGAAAATTTCCTCAACATGTCTAGTGTCTGCAACATAAAATAACAACTATATATTATGTCGATATAAATTTCTAGAAGCATAAGGCGCCGATAATAATACAAACAAACAGTTTTTGCTGCTCACTCACATTATTTTAGGGCAGTTTCTGGAGATTGCTTTGGTCATGTCCTCTTCAAGAAGTATCCCAAAATGAAGCCAATCACAGCAACAAGAACAACATACATAATCGATATTCCACCACGGTTTCTACTGACTTGGCGCCTCAATAGTTCCTGTGTGCAAAAGATTTAATGCTCATCCATCATATTTCATGAGAAACATAGATTTTAAAACAATTTAAAGTGTGGTATAACACTTCAATGTTCTTCCAAAGAAAAAGTTCTTTTTTAATTATAATATACTTTTTTTTTTTAAAGTAGAAATCTAAAACATGTTTTCTTATAGTTTTTCCAACAATTAAAACAGTAATTTCGGACACAATAGGTTCAAGCAAGAAATGGAGAATAGACCAAATATGTGGGTCCCACCACGTTTGCCTCACTCAGATTCAAAGGAAAAAAACAGGGAAATTTCGAACAAAGCATTAACTTTTTCACTTTTGCCCTTATCTTTCCTGGTTGTTTTTGTCTCCTTGACTCCCATTTTTCATGTTCACAACAAACCTTCCAAGTTTTGTATAGACAAGAGATGCCAAAATTTATAAATCCTAGGCAATCCTTACAAACAAATTTTATGGATTGAGTTAGGCCCAAAAATATAATATGGTATCAGAATCTATCAACATACAAACCTAACTGTTGAAGAGGTGAAAAAAGAGCTTTGCAACCATAAGAAAAGGAGGAGGAACAGTAATGCAACAAAAAATCGAGAAGGTAGAGCAAAGCTCTTACAATTCTTTTGCTAAGTCATAGTAAAAATAGGCTACCAGGATGGCAGCATCGGGATGGTAGCACCGTCGAAAAAATGATGGTGTTGAAAAGGGTACAAAGAAAGAATGAACCAACATAACAACAACTGTTTTGAGATGGTTGCGTGCAAGTGGGTTAGTTTATCATTGCCACCGCAAAAACCACGTGACTCAAGCTCCATTGCAGAGGGGAACAAAACAAATACGTCTCAGGGGTGGATTTCAACCGAGTTTGCTGAAGTTACTATGACGAGCGATAAAAGCCGGAAAAATTTTCTGCCTCACAAGATCAAGATGGAAACATAATTTAGACAAAGTTGGTAATGGCCCCAACCAGAGAAATCCGGTTTTTATGTCACGGTGATGAAATACAAGCAAGGGTGAATAAAGATGTGTACATGGCAGAAAAAACAAGGACACAGACTTTGCGAAACTTGAAAAACTTAACGTGTTCGGTTGTTCGATGAACTCACCCCTTCTTCTAAAAGACTAAAACCACTAGCCAGTGGGGTTGATAATGTTTCCATGACGACTTTGAGGGCAAATATGAGAGCAGAGATAGTTCCAACCCCACAACTACAGAACCTGTGAGCAACATCAAGCACTGTGGCTACGCGGCCATCACAGTAGCTGCCCCACCATGAAGTCATGTCAAATATATAAATGAGGATGATGAAGGGATTTGTCACTGGATTCCAAAACAGCAACAAACATCAAGAGCGAGAGCCAGGGCTGAGGTGACATTTTGGGGACATCGTAGAAGTAGATGGTGTTTGGAAAACAAACTTCCTAGTCTAACGGGACAAACAAAACTAAATCAGACCGTTGAAATAAAAAAGAAAATCTTGTTTTACATTGCTGGAGTTGTGCATGATAGATAACTCCGGCATAGGGCAGTTCGGGGTAGCTTGAAGGCTGACCCAAACTTGACCCTAGCCCAAACATTGAACTATAAATGTTGCCCTAACCCGTCCCCATTTCTTTGTGGAATGGGCCAAGCCCGGTCCTAAAGAGTTTGGGCTAGGTTGGGTCACCGAGACGGGCCGGGTCTTGAATACCCCTAGTTATTTTCAATCAATAAATGCCATTCTCTTCCAAATTTTGATCTATCTTCGGTTAAAATACACTTGATTTATGTGAACTTTTCTTGAATGTAGCTCAACAACAATTTTAATATTGAATCCAGGCAATACCATGGTGTAACTTAAAATAATAACATATTAGAAAGGTAGGAAGGAATTACCATTCTACCTTTAACTACAGAGTGCAATTTTTTAAAACAATAAGCAGAGATGCCATAATTAAAATTTTTAAGGAGGACTAACTATAAATTCGTCAACAAGCTTCAAAGATGTATATTTGTATTTATTTATATCCATTACATACCAGTTCTTGCTGAAGCCTTCTCTGTTGGTCAATAGCCAAATTTCTCTCCTCGGTCACCTTCGAAACAAGCGTCGTTGTCTGAAATATTCAGAAATCAAAATAAGAAAAAAAAAAATTCTGATCAATACACAATAAATACAAAATAATTCCATTGGTAGAGACAACAACTGCAAGCAATAGACTCTACAAGCAAATTTCTAACTAAACAATTATCAACAGAAAAAAAACAAATGAAACAAATCAATTTAGTTCATAAATTTTCTACAGACTACATCAGTAATAAATGAGATGCTCAGTAATACAGTGCAGCAGTGTTGTCGATGACAGATGGCAGTCAATGGCGGAGAGCCAAAACCCTGTCAACCAGGCGGTGTGGTGTCGTTATAGGGGAAATCTCCACAATATCGGCGAGCCCAAAAAACGTCATGCATATCTGCCATGGCAGATATTTGATACACTACAGTGCAGAAATATAAAACAGAATACTGTAGCTAGAAATTACAAATTTATGTGTTCCTGAGACATTTCATACAAGATGAGTCAAAACCAAAAGAAAAATATTTCAAAGGAGTTCTCAACTTCATAAAAGAATGATCTAGAGATATCTATCATGATCTTGACCTTAACTAGTAGAAACTTGTAAAGGCATAATCAATGTCATCTTGTTTGCAGTATAGTTGTTTCTCAAATCAAGAACAAATTTGTAAAGCATGCAACTTCCAGCATGAACTATTTTTTATATCCTTTTACAGAGTTTTTTACTGAGGTGAGAGAGTACACAGAGAGGGATAGGTCGATCCCCCGCAACTACGATTGAGAGAGGGCTGGAACCACTTGATGCCAAAACTGACCCCCGAACCGGATTAGTCAGTCCAGTGGATCGGATACTGGCGGTGAAAACCAAAAAGAAAAGAGAGGGATAGGAATATGAAATACTTTGTAATCCTGCAAGACTTGGCAATTTTTCTGCATATCAACTACTTCTGTTTGTCATAATTTTTCTGAATAATTGATTCATTAGCAACCTGATCAGTAACTAAAGAAATTAACAGCTCTAGGAAAAGGAAAGAAAGCTAATCTCATTAACAATACAAGCAATATCAGTCAAATTTAAAAATGTCATAAACTTTTTGCATCTAGCAATCATTGTATTTGTTGAGATACAGTGTTGATTGATTCTTGACTTATATTTCTTGAGATATTCTCTACTTAATTTCTTGTATGAAAACATTACTTATTTCCATGTATATAACTTTGATATGATACATATTGACATCAGAGATACAACAGGTTGGGAGCTAAGCTCTCTAACTATTCAGCACCAAAAACTACTTGAGAAAGACTCCTCGGACTAAAGTGTGTTGAAGCAGGTTAGCAGGTCTAAAAGATATCTGACAGCTGTTGTGAAAAACTGCTGTTAATTGTAATGATTCATAACACACGCTACAGGTTTCTGGTCAAGATATTTTCCAAAAAAGCATGAACCAGATTTTCAGATCTTTCCTTAGGTTTGTGTTTTTTCTTTTATAACATCAAAAAGCATCTCATATTCTTCGTCACAAGTGTACGTGGCATCACAGATTTCTTAAAACTATGCGACGTTCACTAAATAAGCCATGGTTCCATAGCAATAAAAAATGAATTTGTCTGAAAGATTGACCATAACAAACTGAAGAGAAATTGTGGGGGGAAATGTACGAAATGAGATGCACACTTCCAAACAATTTGCTTATGCACAAACACAAAATATAAACATTTGTTTGCGCACGTGTAATAGTTAAAACCTTCGTCAGCATGCGCCACATTGAATTTCACTAACAAGAACCAAATAAAAAAAGCAAGAATGTAATTTAAATGCATTACCTCGAACGTAGCACCCATAGGTTCTTCCCGCCCATTGAAATTCCTTGAAGCCTACAATACAATGTGTGGTAAGTACAACAACTAAAATAACAAGGTTGAGATTTATTTATCATTTGAAAACACA